AGGAAAAACACACATTTTTACCTCCAAAGTTTTTAAATAGTTTATAGCATCTTAATTTTTATTTAAAATCTTGTTTTATATTCTAATTTAATATCTCACTTTAAAATTATGTATACTAATAGGAGTTCTTTTTAGTTTTCGATATTTTATCTCACTTAATTTAATTTAATGTCTCTTACTTTGATAGATGTAAATTATTAATTCTCTTAAATATTCCTAACTTTTAATATACTCACCGGGCGTGTAATTAACCATTGCCCAGATAAGCTTCTCACTAGGGTCCAAAAAGAAAAAGCCGGTAGCATTGAGTTCTGGCGTATTGATTGCGCTACCATTCACGACGTAACGAGAAGATGAAGGATAATAACCAATCGTGAAATATTTAATCTCGTCATTGTTTACTCGCCGGAAGAATATCTCTCTCAATTTCCGATCGATTCGACCGATCAATTCTCCAGTTTCGCTCGACATATAGCCGCGCGTGTATCGAGCGTGATTTACCGTTTCGAGCAATACATATCCTTGTCTGCGAACAAATCCTTCGACATCGAGATCTAATCTGGTGTTGACATGCTTGCCCCATATTTTATAGAGATACTTCCTGTTCGATGCATCGCTCTCATCTCTCAACAAGGCGGACAACGTCAACAACTTGTCCTCGTTGGTGGAGTAATCCGCGGCGAAGACGGCGTTTAATAAGTCCCTGCGATCTCTTTTCATCAGTATGCCCTTTAACGTGACATTCTTTTCGAAGGTCGGGTGCCGAAAATTTAAAACGACTTGCTGTTGGTTAGGTTCCATGGATGTGATATTGACATTTGTCCAATTAAAGGCCGCACCGACGATCCTCGACTTCTCGTCGTCGCGTTCCCATTGCAAGTTCGCTTCGGAGCTTATTTCGTTGCTGGTGATCTTATACGAGCCGTCTACAGTAAAGTTTCGTAAGGGATAGGATAAATTAAGAATGATGAACTGATTGTCCATGTCCTCGGTGGTTTTATTCAGGATGTTTACATGATAAGACACCCAGGCATCCTCGGCTAGACTTAACCATGTGTTCTGATCAAACTCGCCAGGTAGTACCTGATAGTCCGTCTTTAGCTGGATCGTCTTGTTCGAGTGTATCGCCTTCAAATGGATGTCCTGGCCGGTATGGGTAGTCCGGATCTTGGATTCGCCGGCGATGTTGAAGGCCGAGCTGTTGTCTAACCGATAAATGTTCACTTGCTTGAACTCGACGGTGGGATAATTGGTTCCCTCATTTCCACCGCTGTACTCGTATTGGTTTACGTAGATGATGCCTATGGGCTTGTAGATGTTCTCCACGGTAATTTGAATACGATCTTTATCGTAGCCAGCCCGGGATTCACTCTTTGAATTATATTGAGTATCTAGCACTTTCTGGTCGTTGTAGGTCAAGATCGAATGGCCCGTAGTAACCTGTGGACGTTTCTTGTAGCCGTAAGTTAGATGACCGATATGACGAGCATTCAGAGGAACTTCTATGTGCAGAATACCCTCTAGATTCGAATCTAATCGTTCGCTGTAATAAATGTAATCGGAGTTGAGCAAAGCCGTATTATTATTAGGCCAGAAGCACTCGATGAATCTCTTATTCTGCTTTCTGCATATAAAAAGAGAAACAATAATTAGAGAAAATTTAAAAAATAATAAAAGAATTATATTTAAATTACTTAATTTACTTATTAATTATTTGTAGAAAAGTTTTGATTTTTACATAACATTATGTGTGCGATTCAATTAATTATTATATATATACTTTTTCTATAATATAATGGATTTACTTACAAAGTAGTAAGTACAATAAAATTGCATCCGGCGAATAATAAATTTTGCGTAGATATCGAAGCATTAATGGTTCCGTTAACGTTGATTAAACTTTCATAAAATATCCTTGCGGTTCCAATCTGCTGTCTTGGAGGATAAAAGAGATCGGCATTAATTAAATTTCGTTCATCGGAATTACCGTCATAACTAAAAAAGAATACAAGCGTTTCTTCTTGCAAAAATCTCGGCGTATACAGAGAATACTTGAGCTCGATTTCTTTTTTATCGAAGGTGATATTAAAGAGATTGTTCACAGATTCCGTCGGCAATAAACCCCATGTCAATCGGAAGTGCCCATTAATATCGCGCGTAGCCATACGAACCTAAAATTGTGCATTGTTATTATTTAAGAAAGAGAAAATATTAGAAGAAAATATTAGAGAGCATATAAATATACAAGAAAGAGAGAGAAAAAGAGAACAAAAAAAAGAGAATATAATTTAGATGGAAAAAATTTATTTTAAAATTTTCTAAGAATACATGTTTTTCTAAGAATACATGTTATTAATATATTTTTCTTTTTGAAAATTTGTGGTTTCTCCTAATAGAGAATTATATCTCTTTCTCTCAATTCGCATAAATATTAAAAAACTACTTAAATTTGTATTATTATCTTGACTAATTTTACTATTTATTAATATTAAAAAAAAAAAGAATACTAACCGATCCATCCGAAGCATAATTACTCTTCGCTTTAATAGCGTTGTAGCCCAGCACGTAAGAAATGTCTTGCATGTCCTTGCTAGTATGATAACTGATCAAGAACCGATGATCGTCTTTATTTGGAGGTGGCAATTTCACAACGAACACCGCGTCCAAGTTTTGCTTATTGCGGAAACCTATGGTCGCGTTTGTCTCGAACTCCCACGCTTTTCGATCGATGTCCAAATCCAAGCCCATATCGATATTTCTGTACAACCGACCGAGATTCTTGAAGAACACGTGAGTCGACAGCTCCTTCTCGCCCAAATCCGCGGTATCATATCCTGCGATCAATTTCATTAACATGTCTTCCATGTAGATCAGTTTCCATTGAATAGCCGCATGGCACTGATCGTCATTCAATCGATGATTTAGCCGAGCGTCACCACTCGTGTTGGTCAGCATCATATTGCCGTTCACCGTCACAATCCTGCTATCATTCCAAGGTGTTTCGACTTGAATGTAAAGAGTGGTGTTGCCATTTACTTGCACATTCATAAAAGTATTCAGCTGATAAATATCTACTTTAGTAGCTTTTTTGATATCCGTGCGAGCTCTCACGTCCCAATTAAAATTGTTGAGGATGTTTGCGTCGACAGTACCATTAAAAGATCCACCGTCGACATCCAGCAAAAGACCGTACGTCTTTCTCTTCAATCTCAAAATGAGTCGATCGGTGTTCGAGCTTTTCGGCTCGGCTTTAACATCTATCGAAGTTAAAGTGTCATCCTGCACGAAGATGACAGAGCTAACATCATAAGATTTTGCTTGCAACTGGTCCTTTAATTCTCCCCTAACATCATACAACGATTCGTTGATCTGTCTTAGATCTCCGTGGAACTGGAAATGAGGTTCTTGCGACAGCGGCGTATGTAGATCGGCATCAATCTTGCCATTACTTAAGTTTCCAGTCAGCTGATATTCCTGATCGCCAAGATGCGTTACGCATACGTTTAATTTAGCAGTATTGTTTACACGAATCGCATTACTGTATAGAACGTCAGCTTCCAGCGACTCTAAAACTTTTATCCAACTTTCCAGTTTTGCAGAAGCTTTTACAAGATGCTCCTCTATTTGCCAAGCGGACTCGAAAGACGTCTGCAAAAAATAACGATTTAAATTTTCATTTAATTTTATTTAGATAATAATAATTTAATTTTTATGTGAAACTCAACTAAAATTAATCGCTAATATAAATTAATTATTAACTTATAACTTAATCGGATTACAGATATATATATTATGATACTTACGTATTTTGATACAGGCTCTTCCATTCTTGCATTGAATTTAAGTTGCTTTCTATTTCCTGTAAAATCCTTTTTCGCGGCGATTGTAGTTTTTGGTATTTTTATAACAGGTGAATCGATTGCACCAGAAATCATCATATCAAGCAAAGCTTTCTCTAGCTACATGAAAATTAAAGTATATATTTTTTTATTTTTATATTTGCGAATATTTTCACTTGTAAATATTTTAAGAATCGTGCGAAACTTACCTTTATATTTCCTAATAAATCTATGTTTAATTGATTTCCACGAATCGTAACTGTACTTCTATATAGATTGCCTTCGATCTCTACAATTGCGCTGCTACGAAAGTCTTTAAGAAATTCCAAAGGTGTTTTTATATTTAATTTTACCAAATGCGCCTTCGTATTATTCGTATCGATTTGATACGTATAATTGCCATGAAATCCGGTCTATACAATAATAAAATTTTATTTGTTATATATTTTCTTTACCTATATATATTTCGTTGAATTGTTCGTCTAATTATAAAGTATAAAAAAATATAATCTTTTTTTAATTGTATATAAAAATATTACCTCGATCCATGTAGTATTTTTCCTAACATTCACGATCATTTCCATAAAATAGGTCGGTTTTTCAAGATCGATTAAAAATTTATAAAATGATGCTATCTCTTTGATACTGCTAAACGTTAAATCAATATGTAGATCATTATTTATATGAAAAACATCTTCCATGGAAAAGCTGTCGTATATGATGATTTTGCCGGGTGGCAATTGTATTGTGCTTTGGATCTTATAAGTATCGCCTTCAGTATCAATATCTAACTCTCCCGATATATCCGGGATTATTATGAGCCATATCTATATAAATGAATAAAGATATAGATAATAATATTATATTAATTTAATAATTGTATTCTCTTATTAAGAGAATAAATACAGGGTGCTCAATTTTAAACGTAACAGGCCCAATATCTCGATAACTAAATGAAATATCGAGGTCCGGTTTATTTTTGGGTGTATTGTTTCGAGGCGGACAAATTTTATATCAAAAGAATTTGACTTTGGATGGACGCGTCAAAAACCGATATTTTATTTAGTTATCGAGATATTCGGCCTGTTACGTTTTAAATTCAGCACCTTATATAAAAGTCTCAATTTTTTTAAATTAATTTAAATTAATTTCTTATTTCTT